CGTGTGAAATGATCAATAGCATGCAAATACCATACTCCGTGCTCAAGCTCATGCAAGTCCACAGCCACAGTCTCATTATAGGCTGATGCCATAGGCAAACCCACTACAGGCTTATGTTTTGGCTTGCTGTATCTGGTACATGTATCACAGTTTTTAACAATGTTCTTAAGAATTGTGTTGCTTTCATCATCGTGATTACCTGAGCAGGCCAGTAATTTTTTCAGTCTATCAGCTGAAGCATGTCCAAATTGTCTGTGTAGTTTCAATAGGACTGTCTCCTTTTCTTTTGTTGTCATGTTTTCTGTCACAGCAAGAATTTCATTTTCATTGTGTGTCTTGTTCTCACTTGTCTCCTTTTCATCTGGATGGCTGTCTTCTCTCAAATTCACACAGTAATGTCCTGAAGATGTTAGTTCAAGTTTAACAGGTTGTTTAAACATCGTTGCTTTGTCACGTGCAATGTCCAGAACTGCACTTGCTCTTTTCAATGAAGTCTTGCTTAAAAGCATTGGTATTTCTGCAGGAACAACTTCTGTCTCTATTTTGCATCTGGTATGTCCTATCCTTGCTGGAATGGTAACTTTCCTTGTGGAATAAACAACCTTGCCATCACCAAATCTGAAAGGTCTTGCACTTTGTTTGTCATCTATTTTTAGTAACTCACTCTGTGGCAGCCCACTTGTGTAATCTTCAAGCCATTTTTCTCCACACACAGTTCTTGTACAGGCTGTGTCAATCACAGCTGATCCTAAAGCCTCCACCATGAAAATTTCTGTGTTAGACAAAGATTCATTTGAAAACAAAGTGATGTTACATTCTTCAACGTCATCTTTTAGTCCTTCATCTTTTGTCAGTCTTACATGTTCCTTTTTATTTGGACAGTCCTTTGCCCAGTGATACGTGCTTTGGCAAATTGCACATTTCGTTCTTCTTCCATATTTATCAAGAGGGTTTGTGCCTTGAGCTATGGTTTGGGGTTGTTGTGTAGTGTTAGACTTGTGTCCCCGTTTTCCTGAATATCTCGTGTAATAGGCAGTGTCACCATCTGTGTTTTGTAGTACACTGCCGCCCTCTCGTGGTGAAGTAACGTTATCTCCAAAAATTCTTTTCAAGGCTGATTTCATATCAGTGAAAGAAACGCTAGAGCAAGCTGTAAGTGCTAACTGTTTATCTTTAACAGTAAGTCCGGCAGTATCAAGTAGCTTAAAGGCTAGTACGGCATCAGGAAGCTCCATTTTGAACTTACGTAGCCTGTTGTATCGACGTTCGAACTCGACGATGTATTCCACCATAGAAACACCGCTCTCTCTAGTGATCCGGTCAAACTCCGTGTACGCCTCGTACTGCCGATCTTTTTCTTCTTTTAAAAATACAGAGTCCAACTTCGCTATGAGTGTTTGCATTCCCGTGTCGTCATTCAAATCCTCAGCGGAAATTTCCAGAGCACTGTCCCTTGCTCTGCCCGTTAGTGACAGAGTAACTGCCAAGGCTTGTTTTTTCTTTTCCAGGTCAGTAACGCGTCTCCAAATTTCAATCTCATTTTTCCAACTTTCATAAGCCGTCTTCTCGTCAAACGGTGGGGGATTTTTGTAATTCCCAGCAGCAGCCATCCTCTGCTACCAATGTTGATTCAATAACTACAACAGTTATCAGACAATAGATTCTTTATTGCTCCATCACTTAACACAGCCGCTCTACCTCTCATAGAACGCCAGACCGAACAACAACTGAATAAACCGCGCTAACCCATAAAATGGTGCCCTTCACACATGCGCAGTAAAAGAAACATAACTTAACAAGTCTGTCTATCCATCTGTCTGTCTATCCATCTGTCTGTCTGTCTATACATCTCTCTGTCTGTCTGTCTGTCAGTCTGTCTATACATCTCTCTGTCTGTCTATCCATCTGTCTGTCTCTCTGTCTGTCTATCCATCTCTCTATCTGTCTGTCTATCTATCTGTCTGTCTCTATCTATCAGTCTCTCTATTAGTCTGTCTGTCTGTCTGTCTGTCTCTATATGTCTGTCTGTCAGTCTGTCTGTCTCTATCTGTCTCTGTCTGTCTGTCTCTATCAGTCTGTCTCTGTCTGTCTGTCTGTCTGTCTATCCATCTCTCTGTCTATCCATCTCTCTATCAGTCTGTCTGTCCATCTATTATATTTGGTCTTGACTCTTACACAGTTTCTAGTGTATTGTACTTAGTGGGGACCTGTAGTGTCTCAGGAATGCCATATAAACCCCTCTGTGATACACACACACACACTTCCTACAGGTTTAGCGTAGTGGGGACCTTGTCTGATGAGTAATCAATAGGGGTGTAACGATTCATTCGTTTTCTCGATGCATCGATTACAAATCCTGACGATGCATATGCATCGATCTTGAAACATGTATTTCGAATTGTGAATCGTTTATTTCGGTCAATATTCGATTTAAAATGCTAAGAATCGAATAATTTGCGATTCTATATCGATTCAGTGCTTTAAAACATAAAAACAGTCATTAAATGACTACATGCGCGAATTAATGAGGCGTTGTGTGGCGTCATTTCGCGTCCTCACAGCTCTCACATACTCGCTGCACTCTTACCATCTTTCACTGGATTTCGCTCGCGCTCGGTCCCATATAGCTCTCATCTACAGATTTTTGAGCAGTCCATGTTTGAGCTCTCCTCAGGACAGCCATTGGTGTTCACATGAGCAGATGACAGCTCTCTATCGAGAAAGCAAGCCATTGATAAAGCTGCCATATCATTGCGCGGTCACTGCTATGAAACAACGCGTTCGTTGCGTGGAAACGTCACCGTTATTTTCTTTAAGTTAAGATACTGAAGTTTTACGGAAATGGGTCATACCCGTCCTGAGCAGTTAAAGTAAAACCCCACTTATTCAAGGGTGCGCATTTATTACATGGAAAGAGAAAACGTATAATAGGTGTCTAAAATGTAGGCTACACCGATTAATCATGAATGATGAATGAAATGTTACTTAATGTCGTTAAACTGAACTGATGACATATCTACAACATTAATTACACTGAAATAAGAGCGCGTGGTTTATCCATCAATCAGATGCGCATTAAAGTTGCATTCGTAATCGTTAATATAGCACAAGTAGACAGCCGGCGCGTTTCCTTTCAGAATCACAAGGAAAATGTTCAGTCGGATAAAGAGAAAACAAAGAGTAGCTATTCCATGAGGAAACGTTAGTTAAGGTTTAGTTGGGAAAGTTCATGGTATTTTTAGTCTCACAATGGAAGGATGTTTAATGTAGGAACACTTTAAGGTTGTGTATTCATTCCTACAAAATAGTTAGCGTGATGAACTATACTTTTAAAGCCTTTTTAAATCTTGGTTTACATTTTTACAAATGCTAATTTATAGGCTTTGGAAATATTTTTTATAAGAATAGATTCATTAAAAACTAACATGAACTAACGTTAACAATAGACAAAATGTCGTTGTTTTTTTTTCTTTCTTTTTGTTCCCACTCTCTGACCCCCGAAGGCAGCTGTATAATTCACACCCTGACTAAGACCCATTGGGGGAAGCATTTAAATAATCCTATGAATGCATATAAAAAATTAAGAATCGAATCGAATTAATCGAATCGCATCGAATTTTAATGTGAATCGCATCGAATCAAATCTTTCTGAATTTGCAAAAATCGTTCTTGAATCGAATCGAAAACCTATGAATCGTGAATCGAATCGATTCGCTGCCTACCCAAAGATTCACAGCCCTAGTAATCAATTATAACTAATTTTTTTTAACTCTTTTATTATAGGCTATTTGCAAGGATGATGAAGACATGACGACCATAAAGAACTGCTCTGGGGATTCTGTAACAACTGCTGGTGTTTCACGACGTACAGTTGAGGTACATATATATTTAATATCTGTCTTTCTCTCTGTCTGTCCATCTCTCTCTATCAGTCTGTCTGTCTATCTCTCTATCCGTCTCTCTATCCGTCTGTCTGTGTATCCATCTGTCTGTCTATCCATCTGTCTGTCTATACATCTCTAAGTCTGTCTATCCATCTTTCTATCTGTCTGTCTATCCATCGCTCTGTCTATCCATCGCTCTGTCTGTCTATCCATCTCTCTATCAGTTTGTCTGTCTGTCTATCCATCGCTCTGTCTGTCTCCATCTCTCTATCAGTTTGTCTGTCTGTCTATCCATCTCTCTGTCTGTCCATCTCTCTATCAGTCTGTCTGTCCATCTATTATATTTGGTCTTGACTCTTACACAGTTTCTAGTGTATTGTACTTAGTGGGGACCTGTAGTGTCTCAGGAATGCCATATAAACCCCTCTGTGATACACACACACACACTTCCTACAGGTTTAGCGTAGTGGGGACCTTGTCTGATGAGTAATCAATTATAACTAATTTTTTTTAACTCTTTTATTATAGGCTATTTGCAAGGATGATGAAGACATGACCATAAAGAACTGCTCTGGGGATTCTGTAACAACTGCTGGTGTTTCACGACGTACAGTTGAGGTACAAAAATGCCAGTTAGATATTAGTTATCATAATGTAAAGTAAGCCCGTCATTGTTGGTAAATAAACCCTGACATGATCAGGACCCTTAAAGTGGAGTTGTCTTATGTTAGCTACTTGTCAAATACATGACCATGATTTGTTTTTGAAATTCTTTATGTTATGGTGCTTCAAGAAAGTCTTCAATAATTTGCCCTAAACTGTTAGGACAGGTTTTCACTTTCTTTCTTTTTTTCTTAACAGCCTTTGGTTGATTACTCAGACAGTGAAGATGACATTTTGTGTTCTAAAATTATGACACCTTATAAACAGGTATTTATTTTTCATTGGTACTACCATTTCTGTTTAATTGCCTCATACTTCAAAAGCAGTCTTTTTTGAAAAGCTGCATACTATTGTATTTTTCATTATATGATAAACATAGTCCTATAAGCATATATTTTCCTAGTTTATTTGAAGACTTGTCATTCTGACGTTTGTCTGTTTTGTCTTTCTTAGATGAGACCTGCAACTCATGAGGACTCAGATCTTTTTTACTCTGAAAATTCCAGTGTAGATGACAGTACAGACATTAAAGATGACATCAGACAAAAACCTACACCATTTGCAATGAGTGAACAACGTTCCACTTGTGCCACAACATTCAAAAGAGCAAAAAACACCATAGTAAGTGTTTATTTTATTATTTATTAATTAATCTATGACAGAGAATTAACTGAACTGGATGGTTATTGTCTTTCAAGGCTAGAAGGAAGATTGCTGAGCACTCAGAGGTTTTTGATTCGAGCGAAGATGAGTTATCTGAAGTCAGTGAGGAAGAGTACATTCCTGACACATCACAAGAGAGTAGCGCATCAGATAGTAGCACAAGCCTTACTGTTTCACCTAAAGGTAAAGGAAAGCTCCAGACTATTCCAGTCCAGTGCAGTTCAGCTGAGAACAGAAGTACAAACTACAATCCTCAAAGCAGCTGTGACTTGGGGAGCTTCCAGAGCCATGGCGCAGCCTCATTTCCTGACAGCACAAGTTCAGTGATTATCCCAGCTATCATTAAAAAGAGGGATGGACTGAGAATGTATAGCAAGAGACAACATTGCTTTTTTTGTGACCGGGCTTTTACAAAAATTGCTAGACACCTAGAGCGCAAGCATAGCAATGAAGTAGAGGTAGCAAAGGCTCTAAGTCATCCAAAGGGCTCCAAACAAAGGAGAATGCAGCTTGAGTATCTACGCAACAAAGGTAACTTTGCTTACAATGCTACTGTTATTAATACAGGCTCAGGACAGATGATTCCACGGAAACTGCCTAAAAAGACTTTGGATGGAGAAAAATTTATGCATTGCATTTACTGCCAAGGACTCTTCTTAAAGAAAACCCTGTGGCGACATGTGAAAGTTTGCAAATTCAAGCCTTCTGACGTGAAACCCAAACCTGGAAAAACCCGTGTGCAGGCTCTTTGTAGCTTTGCACAGCCTCCCCCACCAGGAGTAACTCATGGTGTTTGGAAGCTGTTAAATGCTATGAACCAAGACCAAGTGGCACTTGAAGCCAGAAATGACTGGTGCATTTTAGAGCTTGGAAAGCATCTTTACAACAAGTATGGATCAAGAGTTAAAATGCATGAATACATCCGTCAAAAGATGAGAGAGCTTGGAAGACTCCTTATATGTACTAGAGAGGTAACACCCCTTACATCTATTAAAGAGCTCATCCATCCCACAAACTTTATGCATGCCGTTAATGCAGTTAAAAGAACAGCTGGATACATTGAAGAGACCAATATATATGAAAAGGCTAGTGTTGCTGTGAAACTTGGACATAGTCTGAACAAAATCGCAATGCTTATTGAGAGCCATTCTACCATCAATGGAGACAAAGCAAGTGCAGAATTTGCGAGCAGCTTCCAACAGCTGTATCAAACCCGATGGCCCGAGTACATTTCTTCAACAGCCCGGCGTACAATGGAAGAAGCCAAGTGGAACTGCCCACATTTGCTCCCGTTCACTGAAGATGTTAAACGTCTCCATGTTTATCTTGATGAGCAAGAGAAAATTTACCGCAAACTTTTGTCAACACAGCCATCATCTCAGCATTGGTCAAAATTGGCCAAGGTTATATTGACTCAGGTTATGCTTTTTAATCGTAGGCGAGAAGGGGAAGTGTCACAAATGCCTTTGTCCGCATACACCTCCAGCAACCAATCAGAAGCTCATCCGGATATTAGCATGGCCCTCACAGAGTTGGAAATTAAGCTGTGTCAATACTTCAAGCGTATAGAGATCAGAGGCAAAAGAGGCAGAAAGGTTCCAGTGCTTGTTACTCCTTCAATGCAAGAGTCGATCAGCCTGCTAATTAAAAACCGGAGCAAGTGTGGAGTACTGAATGAGAACCCCTTTCTCTTCGCACGTCCGTCTGCAATGACCTTTTTCAGAGGCTCTGACTGCATCCGTGAATTTGCAGGTGCATGCAATGCTAAGAATCCTCAAACTCTAACTTCCACCAAGTTGAGGAAACAGATTGGTACCCTCTCTGAAGTTTTAAATTTGAGTAACACTGAGCTCGATCAGCTGGCTGACTTCTTAGGCCATGATATTAGGATACATCGTCAGTTTTACCGCTTGCCTGAGGGGACCCTTCAGCTGGCCAAAATGAGCAAAATTCTTCTGGCCCTCGAAAAAGGACGCTTGGCAGACTTTAAAGGGAAAAATCTTGATGAAATCATCATTGATCCAGAAGGTACTATACACTGTACTTTACTTTTGATCTGAACTTAATTTAGAGATATTGGTTCTGTTTTTTGTTTTTTTATTCTGTAAAAGTTTACACAAATTGTAATAGGGTTTTGGGAATGCTTTGGAATAGCATGCATGTATTACCTTGTGTTTTTGAAATTTAAATTTTATTTTAAATTTAAATGAAAGTTAAATGATTCATTTTCTGTTTTCTACCCTTAGAGAACGTTACAGTGGACAGTGATTTAGAGGAGTCTACTTCCAATCCGAAAGGTAACAATTTCATTTAGCCAGTTTGTTCCAATTTATGTCCAGTTTAATTTTAAATTATGTTGTTTCTAGGGATGGCAAATTGGTTTGAAATGTGTGGTACATCTTTAGATTCTTTTTCTCACTTTCTACTCTGACTACATGCACAAGTTACTTTAGCATGTTGCTTGGGCATTTCCAGTTTAGTTTTTTCCCTCGTGGTTTGCGCATGAGCCCGCACGCACCTCAAAACACTATTGCCAACTTCTAAAGCCTGCTCAAAGTTGCTATATGTTGTTAAATGGCGTCCTAAGCTAATTAGCATAATCATTACATAATTTATATATTAATATTTGTCAAAATACAACACCAATTGAGATTGAGAGAGCGGCTTTATTCGCTAGACTTAAACCTAAAAAATACTCCTGTATATATGGTGTATTTGGAAAATGCAGTGTTTTAAAATTATCATTCTGCTTTTTATGCTCAAAATACAGATTTATGTGTTTTTATCAACCAGTATAGCTATTTTCCTTAACACGCCCATCTTGGTTTTGGTACTGGAATGTAGTCACAACTCGGGTATGATGTAATTCTCAGGTCCGAAATCTGATTTTCGAAGTAAAAATGCAGCATTACAGTTGTTTCTGTCACCTTTTCTCCTGACAAAATTAAAAAGTAATGGCTATATTTTCCAGCCACTGAATGATATAGACTTTTCCAGATTCTGACTAAGCTAGCTTGCTGCAATAGTGACGTCACATGCATGCAATGATTACAAATGTGAATAGGGATGATTGGATTGTTACATTTGTAGCAATTGTGACTTTTTGGATGGTGACTAATTACTAATAAAAGTTCCGTAATATTAGTTACCAGAGAAAGTAATTGTATTACTGTGCATTGCAAGTACTACAAGTTTGATCCCCCATGGGTTAGAAGAAAGTTTAAATAACTGATTAAAAAAAGATTACAAAATCCTATTTTTATTCCAGTCCTCAGGACACACCTCCCAGAATATTTTAGATGACTCCCTAATTAAACACTAAGAAGTTGATAAGTTGAATCAGGTGTTTTAAATCGTGAGACATCTAAAATGTCTCAATTCTTGTAGGTGGGTCCCCAGGACTGAAGTTGAGAAACATTGCACTTTGTGTTCTTGAGTTATTTTCGTTGCACTTAAAACAGCACTGATAAAAAATAATAACTGATGAGGGGTAGGGTAGCTTTATCAGTTTAATTAAGATATGTGTTAATACTCAGACTTGCATCATTTTTACTTCCAGAGTGCACTACAGTATCATCACCACAGCACACTGAATGTGAAGACAGCACACTTCCAGTAAACCCAGTGTCCAAAAAAAAGAGAGGTATGTTGATTTCCACTGATTGATGGTTGAAATGTTCTCCAGTTACATCAGGTTTCTATTTACAACATGATTTTTGAAGCATTTCAATATTCTAACTATGGAAGATTATTGAGATTATTTCTAACAATGAATGTCTCGAGCTGATCTCAAGGATCTGTATCTTGGACCGATTAAGCATTTAAGAAACAACTTCTTGCTAGTGAAATGCTAAGGTATATGATGTAGGCCTAATTGTTCCCCCTACAGGTCACATCAAAAGGACAGCCTGGAACAAAAATGAAATCCATGCGGTAGAGAAACACATGATGAGATTTATAAAGAACCGCAAAGTTCCAGGGAAGGCAGACTGCGTAAGGTGTTTGGAAGCTGAACCATCTGCTCTAAAACATAGAGAATGGTCAGCTCTCAAGTTTTATATCAAAAATCGAATCTCCGCTCTGCAAAGAAAAGATGTAGCACACTAATATTGACACCATGTTGAGTGTTCGTCACCAGGTAATATCTTAATCTTGCCTAAATGAATTTGTTGATTCAGTTCTTTTACAAATGTTTTTAAAGTGTTTCAAATAACTTTTATACTGCAGTTAATGATTTGTTTTTTTTTAGCCAGTTTTCATCATCAACTTTTTTAAATGCCAAATGTTTACTATAAACGCAGGCATGCAAAAGTTTCATGCTGAAGTTTCTTTACTTATTGACGATACGTTTTGAGAAACGGTTTAGAAGGGTTTTGTGAATTAATATGAACACAAGCATGGAATAGTCTTATGCTAGATCTATTTGTTGACTGACATTTGGTGCAAGTTTTGAAAAAATGTTAACATTACATGTCACAAATATTTATATATACACACATGTACATGTCTGTGTATGTATGTTTGTGTGTATGTATGTAGGTTATACTTTTAGAAGTAAAAACATTTAATGTTGCTTTGTTGGAAATGGAACCCTGATATAATCTATAAATAAATAAGAGTTCAAAAAAGTAGATTCTCTTTTTACACTGCTTTTTAAAAAGTGCCTTTTAAAAATTGTGTTACTGAGGCCTTCTCAAAATGAATTGATACAAGGATAAAAGTAGCTATGTACATTTGATCCCCACAATGACTAAAAACTAGTTTGGTGTGTGTACATTTGATCCCCACAATGACTAAAAACTAGTTTGGTGTGTGTACATTTGATCCCCACAATGACTAAAAACTAGTTTGGTGTGTGTACATTTGATCCCCACAATGACTAAAAACTAGTTTGGTGTGTGTACATTTGATCCCCACAATGACTAAAAACTAGTTTGGTGTGTGTACATTTGATCCCCACAATGACTAAAAACTAGTTTGGTGTGTGTACATTTGATCCCCACAATGACTAAAAACTAGTTTGGTGTGTGTACATTTGATCCCCACAATGACTAAAAACTAGTTTGGTGTGTGTACATTTGATCCCCACAATGACTAAAAACCAGTTGTGTGTGTTGGCGGACCTCAGATTTACACAATACCTGAAATGACCCCACAAGTAGCCACTGTGTCATGTTTCAAAATTTTATAGCAAAATATTTGTAATCTGAAAGGACATTTTCTAAACTGATATTGTATTAGTTGTCATAGTATTTTTTTTAGGTCTTAAAGTTCATTAGAAAGGGTGGTCCTCATTATGTAGCATTTCTGACAGGTGACCCCCACAATGCATAAAAACAAGTGTGTGTGTGTGTGTGTGTGTGTGTGTGTGTGTGTGTGTGTGTGTGTGTGTGTGTGTGTGTGTGTGTGTGTGTGTGTGTGTGTGTGTGTGTGTGTGTGTGTGTGTGTGTGTGTGTGTGTGTGTGTGTGTGTGTGTGTGTGTGTGTGTGTGTGTGTGTGTGTGTGTGTGTGTGTGTGTGTGTGTGTGTGTGTGTGTGTGTGTGTGTGTGTGTGTGTGTGTGTGTGTGTGTGTGTGTGTGTGTGTGTGTGTGTGTGTGTGTGTGTGTGTGTGTGTGTGTGTGTGTGTGTGTGTGTGTGTGTGTGTGTTGGTTTTGGTGGATTACAAGGTCTTTCCACCAGTTTACATACCAGCATTATAAGGACATTTGGGATTATAAGGACAAAGGACATGTCCTTGTAATTCAAAACCGTCAAATCATCAGTCTGAGTCTGAAGAACAACCTCCTGCTTTTTTATTGGATGTCCCTTTAAGTGGGTATACCAGTGTTCTGGTGTGTGGGTGTGTATCTCGTGACTGCCGCCTATCGGCCGGATCAGACGCTCCCGCTTTACACACATTTACACACTAATGGGCGTGGCCGAGTGGAAACGGCGGGCGATTCTCTTATTGGTTAATGACGCGCACGCGCAGTAGAGAGATTTATATGCTGGCTGAAGGTGGAAGCGTGCTCACTGCGGCTATGTGACAGCAGCCTAATTGGTAAGTACATTAAATATTATTACATTTTATATATTGATTAATATAAATTACTCATATCTATGTTTATATTTAAATTAAACATATCTTAGTGTTCTGTTGGCAGTCTTTAAAAATATTCACGCAGTCGAGCACGAGGCTCGTCATGGCACCCTGGAAACTGAATAATGCATTTATTGTTAATGAAAAGTTAATTAAGAATAATTATGAACAACTACGAGTTTCAGAAGAATGTTCACATCATTGAGGAAATCTGCTTTTTATAATGCCTCAATTTGCCTTAAATGTGCGTTGTGACAGGATTAAATTAAAGTGTCTGTCTGAACTCGTTCGTTGACGGGTGGAATGAAATCTATGGCGTCAAATAAAAAGTCAAAGATCGACATTTTATCATAAAATGTATTACCTTTTTGTAAAAAAAAAGCATAACAAACATACAATAGTTAATCCGATGAGGTACATTCGACGACTTTGTGGTGACTAACGTTAGCTGCTACTAGATTTACAGGCCCTTTTCACGATTCAAATGCATTTAAAATAAGTAGTTTCGAGAAGTTTCGACAGGAATAACGTTATATCTCAGCAGGGAAAGTATTCAAAGTTTCTGAAAATGTTAATTTGACATCTTTTGATGAAATTGACATAGTATAATTATTGTAATGCATATATTCACCCAAAAAAATCTTTGGGAAGTATACATTTAAACGTGTTTAATAAAAATAAATATATTAGTTGAATTGTATATGGCTGCCTTACTATAAAAAACAGCAATACATAAAATAGTATTGTTTTACTTGTAATGGTATTGGTGAATCAGAAGTCTTGCAAATTATAAAAAAAAAATAGGAACTGGTATTGTAAAATAAGATGGATAGGGACTGTATGGATGTGCAACTTATTAGATTTATGTATTTTTAAATATTTTTATGTAGTGTTTTTTCATTCTGTTTTTAAAATACTATACCTTCAACTCTGCAGATACAAGAAATGGAGAGTGGCTCGAGGCGACAAAGGCTAAAGCCTATGCAAGATGCAGAAGACCACATTAAGTCAAGAATTGACAAGCCAAATCTTGAGCAGCGATACATCAACAGATTTAAAGGTACACCAAATACTCTAAGTATCTGTCCTGTTTTGTAATGTCAGAGTACAGTACAACAGTACATTTGAAGACATGTACAGTCACACTGGAGTGATGAGAGCATTCAGTGCGTCACATGATCAACTGCCAAAGGAGGGCTGTGCGATATCACGCTTTAAGATTGTGAACTATTATAATATTCTGCATTTGTAGAGAGATCATAATATTATGCTAAAGTGCAAATTATCTCAGTTCTCCAGCTTATTGTTTGCATGTGTTTTAAAGCCTTGCCAGTTAAACACTTTATTCACACACTGATCTAACATGCGCTTAAAGTGTCAAATACACAGGGTTTCCATAAACACCATAGTTTTTATCTTAATTGAATGCAAACAGTTACGTGTCAGTATATTAGATCACTGGGTTGTTCATCCTATCTATCTATTTATATATATATACATATATATACATATAACAGCTCAGGTACACACTATATACAATGTGTTCATTTTGTTGGTAGTTGTAGAACATGTTACAGTGCAAGTGTTAATATGGTAAGACAATGAGGCTCTTATATTAAATATGTTTTTTCATCTTTCAGGACGAGGAGTGTTCACCAAGCAATTCATTTTAAAAGGGGATTTTGTGGTTGAGTATAAAGGCCTATTCACACAGGAACAAGAATCCTCTGGAGTGTTTCTTTTTGACTTTCCATGGAAAGGACAAATGTGTTGGTAATTAATTTTTATCCTTGAGTAATACTTTGATAATGCATTGTAATATATGCATAACATAATGGCAAAAACTTGCAATATAGGCCCTGTCCCAAATGGCACACTTCATGCTCACATGTATCTTGAGGGCTTACAATGGCTGCCGCGTGTCCGTTAAGTCCACAAGACCGTAGGGTGTCCCATTCTTCATTTGCTCGCGAGTGCCCTCTTTGCGGCTGCTATGCGTCCTCGATTTGCACTTCTGTTGAAGCTGTGAGCTCCACTGCAGAATTCTACCCCACAGTCAAAGCGGAATTACATCATGAAAGTGTGGACTCTGAGGATGACCGCAAGGGTTTAGGGTGCCATTTGGGACAGGGCCAATGTTCAACATGTTTAGAGTAAATTTTTTTAGAGATGCACCGATTGATCGGTTGGTGACCGGATTTGGCCGATTTTCACGTTATCAGTCTGACATTTTCGGCATGCATGTTAATCAATGAGTATGTTCACACCGGGAGCAGGAGCAGCGCGTGAGTGTCAAGCAGGAGTGTCGCATGAGCAGCATTGAAGTGGGGTTTCGGCGCCGAGTCTATTTGTGTTGCGCTTCTCACGCTCAGTTAAAGTGAAAGCACACTTTTGATGGACAAAATAAATATGATTTCACACAAAAAGTGCTCAAACATGAACAGAATTTGTATGTCTAGTGTGTTTGACCTTTTTTTATTATTCGGTTTGTGTAAAGTATATTGTTTTATAAAAACAAAACAAAAAGGGAATCGGCTAAAATCGGTATCGGCAGGTCAAACTCAATGAGAAATCGGAATCGGCCTAGAAAATTGTAATTGGTGCATCTCTAATTTTTTTGTTTCTTTATCCAGTAGATGAAGTTCGTACATGTTAATTTTCAAACACCATTGTCATGTTCTACTATTTGTCATTTTATTTATAATGATATGGACCTTTTTTATGCAGCATGGATGCATCGGAGGAGGATGGCAGTCTGGGAAGGCTTGTAAATGACAGTAACAAACCTAACTGCAAAATGAAGGTTGTAACATTCAATAACAGCCCACACTTGTGCCTTTTTGCTATTTTGGATATTTTTCCTGGGGAAGAAGTCACCTACAACTACGGACCATCAGAATGGCCGTGGAGATCCCAGGTAAAGAATGTTCTCCCCCAATATGCAATAGAGCATTTTCTAGAAGTATTTTCAAAGAATCTAGACAATGTAGGATTGTTGTTGTGTACACATTTGTCTTTATATTAATTATTTTACAGAGTAACATTACTGTCACAGCTTGGATGTCTGAATAACATTTACATGAAGAAAGATTTCCTTTACATCAAACTTTGCTTCAGTGGTCTGAAAATTTGTTGATATTGATTTTTAGCGGACCTTGTAGTGTTCTTGTTCAGTTTTCCTTATTTGCTATATCCCTAAAACAAGAATTGTTCATATTTTTTTAAATAAGGTTGCTTCAACCCAGTTAAATAAAAATAAGGTTTATTTAATTCATGTTTTAAATGAATAACTTCAACAATAAATGTAAACAGTACAAAATTGAGGTTACAAAACTATTCAACTGTAGTGTTTGTGCTTATGTGAGTATTTTTATATGCAGGTGTTCATTTTACATTATGACCATATAAAAAATAGAATAGAAACAGTAAAGTTTTGTATTGTAGGCAAAGATGTTCAAGACGTAGTTTCAGTTTTTTGCCACAATCAGACTTACAACATCTACATTTGTTATTGTTTTTATCCTGCAGCTTCTTTATCTCCAGCAAATGTCTACAACGGTATTTATTTTCATTCTCTCCTTTACAGATGAATACAGATGTTGCAGACAAAACTCCCTGTTTGGCAGAAGCAAGTGCAGAACAGGTATTGTGTAGTTTTGTAAGAGACATTAACATTTATTCTAGGTGTATTTTTTTGATTAATGTATGTTCATTATAGTCAAGTGTGCTTATTATACATCTACAAAGTGGAAAGTTGATATAGAGACTTGATGTAGAGCCAAGCACTGTGTGAACCTGAAAACACACTGCATTGTGAGGACGGAACGGTTTACTAGGACACTGTAGTGTGTTAGTTATGTAGGAAACAATAGGCATGAGATTGTGTTAAACTGAAAACACTGCATTGTGAGGAAGGAACGGTTTACTAGGACACTGTAGTGTGTTAGTTATGTAGGAAACAATAGGCATGAGATTGTGTTAAACTGAAAACACTGCATTGTGAGGACGGAACGGTTTACTAGGACACTGTAGTGTTAGTTATGTAGGAAACAATAGGCATGAGATTGTGTTAAACTGAAAACACACTACATTGTGAGGACAGAACGGTTTACTAGGACACTGTAGTGTTAGTTATGTAGGAAACAATAGGCATGAGATTGTGTTAAACTGAAAACACACTGCATTGTGAGGAAGGAACGGTTTACTAGGACACTGTAGTGTTAGTTATGTAGGAAACAATAGGCATGAGATTGTGTTAAACTGAAAACACTGCATTGTGAGGACGGAACGGTTTACTAGGACACTGTAGTGTTAGTTATGTAGGAAACAATAGGCATGAGATTGTGTTAAACTGAAAACACACTGCATTGTGAGGAAGGAACGGTTTACTAGGACACTGTAGTGTTAGTTATGTAGGAAACAATAGGCATGAGATTGTGTTAAACTGAAAACACACTGCATTGTGAGGACAGAACGGTTTACTAGGACACTGTAGTGTTAGTTATGTAGGAAACAATAGGCATGAGATTGTGTTAAACTGAAAACACACTGCATTGTGAGGACAGAACGGTTTACTAGGACACTGTAGTGTTAGTTATGTAGGAAACAATAGGCATGAGATTGTGTTAAACTGAAAACACACTGCATTGTGAGGAAGGAACGGTTTACTAGGACACTGTAGTGTGTTAGTTATGTAGGAAACAATAGGCATGAGATTGTGTTAAACTGAAAACACACTGCATTGTGAGGACAGAACGGTTTACTAGGACACTGTAGTGTTAGTTATGTAGGAAACAATAGGCATGAGATTGTGTTAAACTGAAAACACACTGCATTGTGAGGACGGAACGGTTTACTAGGACACTGTAGTGTTAGTTATGTAGGAAACAATAGGCATGAGATTGTGTTAAACTGAAAACACTGCATTGTGAGGACAGAACGGTTTACTAGGACACTGTAGTGTTAGTTATGTAGGAAACAATAGGCATGAGATTGTGTTAAACTGAAAACACACTGCATTGTGAGGACAGAACGGTTTACTAGGACACTGTAGTGTTAGTTATGTAGGAAACAATAGGCATGAGATTGTGTTAAACTGAAAACACACTGCATTGTGAGGACAGAACGGTTTACTAGGACACTGTAGTGTTAGTTATGTAGGAAACAATAGGCATGAGATTGTTAAACTGACGACACAGTAGCAGCTTCTTTATCTCCAGCAAATGTCTACAACGGTATTTATTTTCATTCTCTCCTTTACAGATGAATACAGATGTTGCAGACAAAACTCCCTGTTTGGCAGAAGCAAGTGCAGAACAGGTATTGTGTAGTTTTGTAAGAGACATTAACATTTATTCTAGGTGTATTTTTTTGATTAATGTATGTTCATTATAGTCAAGTGTGCTTATTATACATCTACAAAGTGGAAAGTTGATATAGAGACTTGATGTAGAGCCAAGCACTGTGTGAACCTGAAAACACACTGCATTGTGAGGACGGAACGGTTTACTAGGACACTGTAGTGTTAGTTATGTAGGAAACAATAGGCATGAGATTGTGTTAAACTGAAAACACTACATTGTGAGGACGGTACGGTTTACTAGGACACTGTAGTGTGTTAGTTATGTAGGAAACAATAGGCATGATATTGTGTTAAACTGAAAACACTACATTGTGAGGACGGTACGGTTTACTAGGACACTGTAGTGTGTTAGTTATGTAGGAAACAATAGGCATGAGATTGTGTTAAACTGAAAACACACTGCATTGTGAGGACAGAACGGTTTACTAGGACACTGTAGTGTTAGTTATGTAGGAAACAATAGGCATGAGATTGTGTTAAACTGAAAACACACTGCATTGTGAGGACGGAACGGTTTACTAGGACACTGTAGTGTTAGTTATGTAGGAAACAATAGGCATGAGATTGTGTTAAACTGAAAACACTGCATTGTGAGGACAGAACGGTTTACTAGGACACTGTAGTGTTAGTTATGTAGGAAACAATAGGCATGAGATTGTGTTAAACTGAAAACACTGCATTGTGAGGACAGAACGGTTTACTAGGACACTGTAGTGTTAGTTATGTAGGAAACAATAGGCATGAGATTGTGTTAAACTGAAAACACACTGCATTGTGAGGACAGAACGGTTTACTAGGACACTGTAGTGTTAGTTATGTAGGAAACAATAGGCATGAGATTGTGTTAAACTGAAAACACTGCATTTTGAGGACAGAACGGTTTACTAGGACACTGTAGTGTGTTAGTTATGTAGGAAACAATAGGCATGAGATTGTGTTAAACTGAAAACACTGCATTGTGAGGACAGAACGGTTTACTAGGACACTGTAGTGTTAGTTATGTAGGAAACAATAGGCATGAGATTGTGTTAAACTGAAAACACTGCATTGTGAGGACAGAACGGTTTACTAGGACACTGTAGTGTTAGTTATGTAGGAAACAATAGGCATGAGATTGTGTGAACCTGAAAACACACTGCATTGTGAGGACGGAACGGTTTACTAAGACACTGTAGTGTTAGTTATGTAGGAAACAATAGGCATGAGATTGTGTTAAACTGAAAACACACTGCATTGTGAGGACAGAACGGTTTACTAGGACACTGTAGTGTTAGTTATGTAGGAAACAATAGGCATGAGATTGTGTGAACCTGAAAACACACTGCATTGTGAGGACGGAACGGTTTACTAAGACACTGTAGTGTTAGTTATGTAGGAAACAATAGGCATGAGATTGTGTTAAACTGAAAACACTGCATTGTGAGGACAGAACGGTTTACTAGGACACTGTAGTGTTAGTTATGTAGGAAACAATAGGCATGAGATTGTGTGAACCTGAAAACACACTGCATTGTGAGGACGGAACGGTTTACTAAGACACTGTAGTGTTAGTTATGTAGGAAACAATAGGCATGAGATTGTGTTAAACTGAAAACACACTGCATTGTGAGGACAGAACGGTTTACTAGGACACTGTAGTGTTAGTTATGTAGGAAACAATAGGCATGAGATTGTGTTAAACTGAAAACACACTGCATTGTGAGGACAGAACGGTTTACTAGGACACTGTAGTGTTAGTTATGTAGGAAACAATAGGCATGAGATTGTGTTAAACTGAAAACACTGCATTGTGAGGACAGAACGGTTTACTAGGACACTGTAGTGTTAGTTATGTAGGAAACAATAGGCATGAGATTGTGTTAAACTGAAAACACACTGCATTGTGAGGACAGAACGGTTTACTAGGACACTGTAGTGTTAGTTATGTAGGAAACAATAGGCATGAGATTGTGTTAAACTGAAAACACACTGCATTGTGAGGACAGAACGGTTTACTAGGACACTGTAGTGTTAGTTATGTAGGAAACAATAGGCATGAGATTGTGTTAAACTGAAAACACACTGCATTGTGAGGACAGAACGGTTTACTAGGACACTGTAGTGTTAGTTATGTAGGAAACAATAGGCATGAGATTGTTAAACTGACGACACAGTAGCAGCTTCTTTATCTCCAGCAAATGTCTACAACGGTATTTATTTTCATTCTCTCCTTTACAGATGAATACAGATGTTGCAGACAAAACTCCCTGTTTGGCAGAAGCAAGTGCAGAACAGGTATTGTGTAGTTTTGTAAGAGACATTAACATTTATTCTAGGTGTATTTTTTTGATTAATGTATGTTCATTATAGTCAAGTGTGCTTATTATACATCTACAAAGTGGAAAGTTGATATAGAGACTTGATGTAGAGCCAAGCACTGTGTGAACCTGAAAACACACTGCATTGTGAGGACGGAACGGTTTACTAGGACACTGTAGTGTGTTAGTTATGTAGGAAACAATAGGCATGAGATTGTGTTAAACTGAAAACACTGCATTGTGAGGAAGGAACGGTTTACTAGGACACTGTAGTGTGTTAGTTATGTAGGAAACAATAGGCATGAGATTGTGTTAAACTGAAAACACTGCATTGTGAGGACGGAACGGTTTACTAGGACACTGTAGTGTTAGTTATGTAGGAAACAATAGGCATGAGATTGTGTTAAACTGAAAACACACTACATTGTGAGGACAGAACGGTTTACTAGGACACTGTAGTGTTAGTTATGTAGGAAACAATAGGCATGAGATTGTGTTAAACTGAAAACACACTGCATTGTGAGGAAGGAACGGTTTACTAGGACACTGTAGTGTTAGTTATGTAGGAAACAATAGGCATGAGATTGTGTTAAACTGAAAACACTGCATTGTGAGGACGGAACGGTTTACTAGGACACTGTAGTGTTAGTTATGTAGGAAACAATAGGCATGAGATTGTGTTAAACTGAAAACACACTGCATTGTGAGGAAGGAACGGTTTACTAGGACACTGTAGTGTTAGTTATGTAGGAAACAATAGGCATGAGATTGTGTTAAACTGAAAACACACTGCATTGTGAGGACAGAACGGTTTACTAGGACACTGTAGTGTTAGTTATGTAGGAAACAATAGGCATGAGATTGTGTTAAACTGAAAACACACTGCATTGTGAGGAAGGAACGGTTTACTAGGACACTGTAGTGTGTTAGTTATGTAGGAAACAATAGGCATGAGATTGTGTTAAACTGAAAACACACTGCATTGTGAGGACAGAACGGTTTACTAGGACACTGTAGTGTTAGTTATGTAGGAAACAATAGGCATGAGATTGTGTTAAACTGAAAACACTGCATTGTGAGGACAGAACGGTTTACTAGGACACTGTAGTGTTAGTTATGTAGGAAACAATAGGCATGAGATTGTGTTAAACTGAAAACACACTGCATTGTGAGGACGGTACGGTTTACTAGGACACTGTAGTGTTAGTTATGTAGGAAACAATAGGCATGAGATTGTGTTAAACTGAAAACACTGCATTGTGAGGACAGAACGGTTTACTAGGACACTGTAGTGTTAGTTATGTAGGAAACAATAGGCATGAGATTGTGTTAAACTGAAAACACACTGCATTGTGAGGACGGAACGGTTTACTAGGACACTGTAGTGTTAGTTATGTAGGAAACAATAGGCATGAGATTGTGTTAAACTGAAAACACTGCATTGTGAGGACAGAACGGTTTACTAGGACACTGTAGTGTGTTAGTTATGTAGGAAACAATAGGCATGAGATTGTGTTAAACTGAAAACACTGCATTGTGAGGACAGAACGGTTTACTAGGACACTGTAGTGTGTTAGTTATGTAGGAAACAATAGGCATGAGATTGTGTTAAACTGAAAACACTGCATTGTGAGGACGGAACGGTTTACTAGGACACTGTAGTGTTAGTTATGTAGGAAACAATAGGCATGAGATTGTGTTAAACTGAAAACACTGCATTGTGAGGACAGAACGGTTTACTAGGACACTGTAGTGTGTTAGTTATGTAGGAAACAATAGGCATGAGATTGTGTTAAACTGAAAACACTGCATTGTGAGGACGGAACGGTTTACTAGGACACTGTAGTGTTAGTTATGTAGGAAACAATAGGCATGAGATTGTGTTAAACTGAAAACACACTGCATTGTGAGGACGGAACGGTTTACTAGGACACTGTAGTGTTAGTTATGTAGGAAACAATAGGCATGAGATTGTGTTAAACTGAAAACACTGCATTGTGAGGACAGAACGGTTTACTAAGACACTGTAGTGTTAGTTATGTAGGAAACAATAGGCATGAGATTGTGTTAAACTGAAAACACTGCATTGTGAGGACGGAACGGTTTACTAAGACACTGTAGTGTTAGTTATGTAGGAAACAATAGGCATGAGATTGTGTTAAACTGAAAACACACTGCATTGTGAGGACAGAACGGTTTACTAGGACACTGTAGTGTTAGTTATGTAGGAAACAATAGGCATGAGATTGTGTTAAACTGAAAACACTGCATTGTGAGGACAGAACGGTTTACTAGGACACTGTAGTGTTAGTTATGTAGGAAACAATAGGCATGAGATTGTGTTAAACTGAAAACACTGCATTGTGAGGACAGAACGGTTTACTAGGACACTGTAGTGTTAGTTATGTAGGAAACAATAGGCATGAGATTGTGTTAAACTGAAAACACTGCATTGTGAGGACAGAACGGTTTACTAGGACACTGTAGTGTTAGTTATGTAGGAAACAATAGGCATGAGATTGTGTTAAACTGAAAACACACTGCATTGTGAGGACGGAACGGTTTACTAGGACACTGTAGTGTTAGTTATGTAGGAAACAATAGGCATGAGATTGTGTTAAACTGAAAACACTGCATTGTGAGGACGGAACGGTTTACTAGGACACTGTAGTGTTAGTTATGTAGGAAACAATAGGCATGAGATTGTGTTAAACTGAAAACACACTGCATTGTGAGGACAGAACGGTTTACTAGGACACTGTAGTGTTAGTTATGTAGGAAACAATAGGCATGAGATTGTGTTAAACTGAAAACACTGCATTGTGAGGACAGAACGGTTTACTAGGACACTGTAGTGTGTTAGTTATGTAGGAAACAATAGGCATGAGATTGTGTTAAACTGAAAACACACTGCATTGTGAGGACGGAACGGTTTACTAGGACACTGTAGTGTTAGTTATGTAGGAAACAATAGGCATGAGATTGTGTTAAACTGAAAACACTGCATTGTGAGGACGGAACGGTTTACTAGGACACTGTAGTGTTAGTTATGTAGGAAACAATAGGCATGAGATTGTGTTAAACTGAAAACACACTGCATTGTGAGGACAGAACGGTTTACTAGGACACTGTAGTGTTAGTTATGTAGGAAACAATAGGCATGAGATTGTGTTAAACTGAAAACACACTGCATTGTGAGGACGGAACGGTTTACTAGGACACTGTAGTGTTAGTTATGTAGGAAACAATAGGCATGAGATTGTGTTAAACTGAAAACACTGCATTGTGAGGACAGAACGGTTTACTAGGACACTGTAGTGTTAGTTATGTAGGAAACAATAGGCATGAGATTGTGTTAAACTGAAAACACTGCATTGTGAGGACAGAACGGTTTACTAGGACACTGTAGTGTTAGTTATGTAGGAAACAATAGGCATGAGATTGTGTTAAACTGAAAACACTGCATTGTGAGGACAGAACGGTTTACTAGGACACTGTAGTGTTAGTTATGTAGGAAACAATAGGCATGAGATTGTGTTAAACTGAAAACACACTGCATTGTGAGGACAGAACGGTTTACTAGGACACTGTAGTGTTAGTTATGTAGGAAACAATAGGCATGAGATTGTTAAACTGACGACACAGTAGCAGCTTCTTTATCTCCAGCAAATGTCTACAACGGTATTTATTTTCATTCTCTCCTTTACAGATGAATACAGATGTTGCAGACAAAACTCCCTGTTTGGCAGAAGCAAGTGCAGAACAGGTATTGTGTAGTTTTGTAAGAGAACTGTCAACACAGGAGCAGCTACAATTGCTGTCAATACCTCTGTGCCCCACAGTTTGGCAAGCACTATGCTTTTGGTTTGTGAAAATTCAAGTGTGTTAATTTTAAATCTGCAAAATAGAAAATAAATAATAGTAAATAAGTATATAAATTATTTGTATATACTTTTGTTTAAAAAAAAAGTAGAAGCTAAATTACGGTCTATCCCACTCCTCTTCCTTCCTACTAAATAGTGTCACAAACATGACTTGGTCCATGCAACTGTGTCATGCCTGGACAAATGCACAGTATGCCTGGGATCTGGGATGTCTGCTCTTAAGTGGATTGGTTTCAAATGTAAAGGTGAGTAAATACATGCATACTTGCATACACTATATTGCCAAACGTTTTGGGACGTTTGCCTATACATGTACATAAACTTAAATTACATCCCATTCCTGATCCGTAGGGTTTAATATGGAGTTAACCCTTTGCATCTATAATTTTTTATCCAGACATCAATAGCTGTATTAGTATCAGTGAAACTGACCTTTATTCATAAAAAGATGCCAATGAACCAAGTATTTAAAAATGTACAGTAAACTATACAACTTTGTCTCTACATTAATTCGGAGATTAGCTGTGTAATTATTACATTATAAAATATATAAACTAAAACCTATAAAAACGATGAGATATAAAGACATCACAGACTCCATAACGCAATGAATAAAAAGTATAAAATCATTGGTTACCCATAAGCCAATCACATATCGTTTGGTTATGACGCGCCAGCTCAGCCGCATCTAACTTCCTCTGTAAACCAGAGCATGTGAGCGAAGCAGAGCGGTGTAACGCTCAGCTCAATATTCCGCTCTATGCGCGTATGCTCCACTCAGTCGCTCGCGTCCCAAGCGAACGCTCCACTGATGAATCGCTCACACTCACCGGTAAAACAAATCCCGCTCAGACATAAATGTTTCTGTAGGTTACTTGCCTTCTGTTTGTACTTTGTAATGAATATCTGGAATAAATGTATAAATTACAGTAGCTAGGATTGTAAATAGAAGTTATTTACTGGTGATTCTGAATAAAAGTCTGTTCTTTTTATTCATTTAAATGCATTAAATTAACTTAATTAAAAAACATGTCTAGCCCTTTGGCAAACTTGCCTATTAAATGCAATAACTGAAAAGGTATATTTGATTTTCGTTATTTTATTTCCGTGAACATAACTGCAGTTGCAAAACAGGCATATTAAAACGCGCACGCACGCACGCACACACACACACACACACACACACACACACACAAACAAGATGAAATGCATGTAGAACTTCACAAAACACATCTGGACTATCATGCTCATAAAAGCACACACAGGTGAAATGCACTTAACAACATCTTATCAAAGCACACCTGGATGATTTACTGGCATTAGTAAAAGAAACGCGCGTTCTAAAGTTTAAATAGACCAAAACTGCGGGTAATTGCGGTCTATTTAAAAACGTCTCAATCTTTACATCACTTTAGAATTTACTTTTAGAAACATTAGCTTGGACAAAGTATTAGGTTTCAGGCTCATGCGGTGTGCCCGGGACAGTAATCCAGCGGCGGAAAACACGCGCTCAGCACTGGAAGAACCACTGGATTGATCCAGCATTGGTTTTCAAAATCCTAGGACATCTTCATGTGGACCTTTTCTCATTGAGCCCAGGTACTCCTCCATCTCACCTCTGGCACTGTCAGCTACACTCGAGTTGCTCTCATATGAGCCGAAAATGAGGGCCTTCTTGGGAGCGCTTCTAGCCTCAGTCACTGTCCACCGCAGTCTCCACACCACTGCATTCTGCCTCTTTTACCAACATTTCACGAATCTCTACGAGTTGATTGCTCACTGTACCATCTCTAATGATCCATTCAGTTTTAAAACGTGGATCCAATACAGCCGCCAACACAAGGTGCTTGTCAGAGTAAAATCTGTTAAAACGAGTAGAGACATTATCTGACAGTGTCTCCACAAATGCACGAATGTTGACGGAGCGGTTGTCAGGGACACTGGACAAAAGCTGTTTGATTTCCATTACAGCTGGAAGAATCATGCCAAGGTTTCCGAGCTCTTTTTGCATAGCAGTTGTAAGCTCTGCCAGAGGCAATAGCACCTCAGTCAGGGCTTGGAGATGAAGTACGTCATTCATGGTCAGCTTACTGTGCTCGGGAATTTTAAGTTTATCAGCCTCCTCAGTGTTTAAGGTGCTTTTTCTAATACTCTTTACAAGTTTTGCCGTTCGTGTGATCATTTTGTCTACATCAGCATGACCGTTTATTGCATCCTTTATGGCGAGTTGCAGTAAATGGATGGGGCATCGCATATGCAGATTAGATTCAGTGATGTATGTGGCGCTCATGTTTTCTATGATCTGCGCAAAATCTGTCTGGAATGGTGAAAGTGGACCTTCCTCTGTGCCACTGCCATCTTCCTCAAGGACCTCTTCCTCACCCTCCTCTTCAGTTGAGCTTTCATCAAACCCTGGGAGGTCGAAAGCCTTTACCATGTTACTTGCGCTGTCAGTCACCACCCTGACAACTCGCCGTTGTAAATTCCAGTGTTGCAAAATACTTTCATATTTATGAAAAATATTCTCAGCGGTGTGGTGTCCTTTAAGATGTTCACAGGACAGCAGCACAGTGTGACTGTTAAACATTTCATCAATGAAACTTGCCACAACACCCAGAAAGCTGTGTCCTCTTCTGTTTGTCCAAATGTCTAAAGTAAGCACAAAGCCATCTCCTAACTGCAACAGCTCTCTAAGTCTGCCTTCCATCTCGCTAAGAGCATTTGGCATCAGAGTGTCACGTACTGTACTGTAGCACGGTGTGGTATAGCCGGGCTGGGCAACGCTGACAAAATGGCGCATACCCTCACGTTCACCTTTTGTGAGAGGTTCATAATCCACGTAAACTATCTTAAAAAATGCGTCATCTAATTCTTTCTTCCGTGCATTAGACACAGAGAACTGGGGAGTCTGGGGACGCAGGAGAGGAAAAAAATTCTTTATCTCCCTTTGATTGGTAGCAGTTTTTTCTGTAAAAACTAATTTGTGTACATTATAATAGCATTCAGTACATTTTCTGTTGCCTACATCTAAATTATAGGCCTACCTAATTATTCGGGTCAGTTTTTTTTGTTTTATTTAAATTTAACAAGTGGTTCAATTAGGGCTGCACGATTATGGCCAAAATGATAATCACGATTATTTTTAACAATATTGAGATCACGATTAATTATCACGATTATTTGTTGATTTTAACCAAAACAAATGTTATTGTCACATAGGCTAATTATAACTGCTTTCACATCCATATTGTGCTACATTCCTGCTAATGTACAAGTATGTGCATCAAAATAAAACAGGTCCTCTTATTCACCAAAATTCAGTGCATCTCCTTAAAGAATAAATAAAAATAAATAAAACAATAAAGAAAATGTAGCAAAACTTCAACAAGGCACTATTTTACATTGTGTAAATATATTTTAGGAAGCAAAATATAAACTTGCATTGTACCTGCATAATGGGTGTGAATAAAACTCAAAATATACAATCAATAAAAAAACAAATATTCCATAACAGAATGTAACCAAATGAGAACATTTCAAGGCAGAACTATGGAAGTTCAATTAATGGATAAAATTCAGAGTCATTGTTGTTTGACGCTTAAGAATCTGAAAACCTGGTTGTGGTACAGTGTCAGTGATTGGTTGTGAAATCATACTGCATGAATTGAATCTTATTTAATCTTCCACATGAAAGTTTATGTGCTCGAATTATTTCTATGTATTAAACTATAGTTCAAAACAAGACGTTTGTAGTACTGATTATTGGAGTCCATTAATCGAACTTCCATGCCTCTTATATAGTAATTATATATTACTATGTAGTACCAATTTACTAATGCTCACACTCGGTCTCTCCCGCACGCAGATACTCGGTCTCTCCCGCGCGCAGACACACTCGGTATCTCTCGCGCGCTGTCGCACGCTCGCACACTGTCGAGTGCGCTCTTGGACACACGGGCTGTGTCCGAAATCTCCACTCAAACCACTACTCCCTAACCCCTATGTAGGGGGTAGGGAGTAGAGCACTATATAGTGAGCTCACCAAGCATAGTAGAAACACCACTTTCGGACACTACTCGATCGTCTCTCGGCGCCGTTTATTACGTCATTACTGTCGCACTATTTAAACGTGCTATCATCTGTCAGCTGGTGCAATGCATGATGGTATGTAGGGCTTGGGTTAGTGACCATCAGTTGTACACTACTTTTCAAAATGCATTCTGGGATACATTGAGTGGACTATATAGGGTATAATAATCATCACTTTACATTCGGACAGCACTACAAAATGGTGAGCTCACTATATAGTCCACTATATAGTGAGTAGTGGGAGATTTCAGACACAGCAACGGTCTCTCGTGCTCTGTCACTCGCGCGCAGACACACGTCTCTCTCGTGCACTGTGGCTCATGGAGGCACGTGATCAGACAGTGGTTTAGGGAGCGCTAGATTGGCTTTGCAAAAAAAAAAAAAAAAAAACTTTGATACGGAGCGTTCTGAGAACGGATTGACGCATTTTAAATATCGCTCGATCACGCGAATTTGATCGTGGGAAGCCAAAATCGTTATCGTGATTAAAATTAGATTAATCGTGCAGCCCTAGGTTCAATAACTGCTGTCTAATTTCAACTTAAAAATAGGCTACATCAACTACAATTATGTAGGCTAATTCATATTGTGTGTTGGCTATAGGTTATTTTTAGTTGCACTGATATGATGATTGCATAACAAATTAACAATTCGTTCCAACCTGACGTCAGCATGTTTTAATAATTAATTTCCTCATTTTATTTAAATCATACAAAATTAACAATATAATATTTCGATCCATGGTTTAGTAAATCGTGACCACGTTGTAATAATTTGTTTCCTTGTTTTAATA